AACAGATTTATTTAACCAATCATTGTTAACAGGAGTAGCCCAAGAAGATTGGAAGTTAGCAAATCTTGTGCCCATTCACAAGAAAGGTAGTAGGGAGGAGTTGGGCAATTATAGGCCAGTAAGCATTACTTCAGTAGTGGGGAAAGTAATGGAAACCATGTTAAGGAATAGGATTGTTGAACATCTAAAATCACATGGGTTTGAAGATCAGAGACAACATGGGTTTACTTCAGGGAGATCATGCCAAACTAATCTTATTGATTTTTTTGATTGGGTAACTAAAATAATGGATAAGTGTGGTGCAGTAGACATTGCTTACCTAGATTTCAGTAAGGCTTTTGACACTGTTGCACATAGAAGGCTTATCAATAAACTGCAATCTTTAAGTTTGGATTCCAATATTGTTAATTGGGTTAGGCAGTGGCTGAGTGACAGGCAACAGAGGGTTGTAGTCAATGGAGTAAATTCGAAGCATGGGCTTGTCCAGGGCCGTCTATAATATGAATAGGACCCTGGGCAAAGAATTTAGTTGGACCCTCCCAATCCCCCCTGCCCCCCATTTACGCCCAACCCCCAATCACACTGACATACTGACACATACACACACAGACAGACATATTAAAACATTCACAGATACATACTGACACACACATACACTGACACACAAATATATACTGGCAGACATATTGACACACAGTCAGACATACTGACACACACACACACATACAGTCATGGTGACACACACAGGCATACTGACATACACACAGACACACTGATACACACAGACACACTGATACACACAGGCATACTGACATACACACAGGCACACATACTGACACACACAGACACACACACAGACATACTGACACACACACAGACATACTGACACACCCACAGACAGACATACTGACATACACACATACATACTCACATACACACAGACATACTGACACACACAAACATACTGACACACACAGACATACTGACACAGACAGACATACTGACACACAGACAGACATGCTGACACACAGACATGCTGACACACACACACACACACAGACAGACATACTGACACACACACACAGACACGACACAGACATACTGACACACACACAGACACACACACACAGACATGCTGCCACACACACAGACATACACACACACTGACATGCTGACACACAGACATACTGACACACACACACACAGACAGACATACTGACACACACACACACACAGACATACTGAAACACACACAGACATGCTGACACACACAGACATACTGACATACACACAGACATACTGACACACACACAGACATGCTGACACACAGACAGACATACACAGAGACATACTGACACACACAGACATGCTGTCACACAGACAGACATGCTGACACACACACAGACATGCTAACACACACACAGACATGCTGACACACACACAAACATACTGACACACACAGACATGCTGACACACATACAGACATACTGAAACACACACAGACATGCTGACACACACACAGACATACGGACATACACACAGACATGCTGACACAAAGACATGCTGACACACAGACAGACATACTGACACACACACAAATATACTGACACACAGACAGACATACTGACACACACACAGTCATGCTGACACACAGACAGACATACTGACACACACACAGACATACTGACACACACACAGACATGCTGACACACAGACAGACATACTGACATACATTTAACCGCCCTCCAACCACCCTTACCTTTTCTGGAGAGTGGTTTCCCTGGGGTCCAGTGGCAGGCTCCGGCAGTTGGGAGTTCTCCTCTGAAACTCCCCTCCTCCCTGCCTTCCTCCTCCTGTGCGGCTCTGATCTCAGGTGGGAGGAAGTGATGCGCGGCACTCACTTCCTCCCAGCCGGCTGCCAAACAGGAAGGGGCCCGGTTGAGCGCCTGACCGGGCCCCTGCTGACAAATGCCCACCGGGTGGCCCTCTTTAGCGTGCGGGATGGCTCTGTGCAGCCGCACCGCGGGATCCAAGGAGGGCTGCGCTAATCGCGGTGCCCACGGGGCAGTTGCTCTGGGGCTCCCCAGGAGCAATTGGGCCCGGGGCTGCTGCCCCGTTGCCCCGCGCTAAAGATGGCCCTGGGCTTGTTACCAGTGGGGTACCTCATTGATCTGTACTTGGACCCATTCTCTTTAATATTGTTATTAGTTAAATTGCAGAAGATCATGATGGTAATGTTTGTCTTTTTGCTGATGATAGAAAAATATGTAACACGGTTGATGGTTGATGCTAATGCCATTGTACAGAACACTGGTGAGACCTCACTTGGAGTATTGTACGCAGTACTGAAGACCATATCTCCAGAAGGATATTGATACTTTGGAAAGAGTTCAGAGAAGGGATACTAAACTGGTTAATGGATTGCAGGATAAAACTTACAAGGAAATGTTAAAGGATCTTAACATGTATAGCTTGGAGGAAAGACGAGACGGGGGGATATCATAGAAACATTTAAATACATAAAGAGAATCAACACAGTAAAGGAGGAGACTACATTAAAAATAAGAAAAACTACCACAGCAAGAGGACATAGTCTTAAATTAGAGGGGCAAAGGTTTCAAAATAATATCAGGAAGTATTACTTTACTGAGATGCATGGAATAGCCTTCCAGCTGAAGTGGTAAAGGTTAACACAGTAAAGGAGTTTAAGCATGCATGGGATAGGCGTAAGGCTATCCTAACTATAAGATAAGGCCAGGGACTAATGCCTAACCCAATTAACAATATTGGAATCCAAACTTAAAGATTGCAGTTTATTGATAAGCCTTCTATGTGCAACAGTGTCAAAAGCCTTACTGAAATCTAGGTAAGCAATGTCTACTGCACCACACTTATCTATTATTTTAGTTACCAATCAAAAAAATCAATAAGATTAGTTTGGCATGATCTCCCTGAAGTAAACCCATGTTGTCTCTTATCTTCAAATCCATGTGATTTTAGATGTTCAACAATCCTATTCCTTAACATGGTTTCCATTACTTTCCCCACTACTGAAGTAATGCTTACTGGCCTATAATTGCCCAACTCCTCCCTACTACCTTTCTTGTGAATGGGCACAAGATTTGCTAACTTCCAATCTTCTTGGGCTACTCCTGTTAAGAATGATTGGTTAAATAAATCTGTTAATGGTTTTGCTAGTACACCGCTAAGCTCTTTTAATAATTTTGGGTGTATTCCATCAGGCCCCATTGACTTATTTGTCTTTACTTTTGACAGTTGAAATAGAACCTCTTCCTCTGCAAACTCACATGTAACAAATGACTCATTTGTCCTTTTTCCTAACTGAAGTCACTTTCCTTCATTATTGGGAAAAATTAGCCAATAGAGGGAAAAAGTGGAGGAGAAGGGGAAAATATTTATTTTTATATAATATATATATATTTTTAAGCATATAATATATAAATATATTTTTTTTTTATTGCTCCTCATTTTTTCCTATATTGGTCACTTGATCAGTAAATACAATTATCATTTAGTGACTCTCCCCATAACCACGTATACTAAAGAAAGTATTTAGAAAATTGGGCAGACTAGATGGACTCAGTGGTTCTTATCTGCCATCACATTCTATGTTTCTAAATGACCAGCAGAGATGTGTTTTATACTACCCTTTCTATTGGACAACTCATGCATATAAATGCTTCTTTGGAATTTACTAAGGTGATGGTAAAATAAACTATCACCGTTTCAAAAGTGCAAAAGTAATAGTTCCTCTTTAGGAGGTCAAACACAGGAAACATTAGCCAACACTTTAAAAAAACAAATGTAATTAAATATCAATTTCCTGCAAATCAAATCACAGTAGTGAAATTTCCTTTACGTGCAAATATATAGAATCTGTAAAGTAAAATGCATTAAGGTTGTTAATGACAAAAACAATTGAGAACTTACTACACAATTCTTTATACAAGTACAAAGTGCCGCAGTCAATTTCAACTTTACTTAGTCTGCTGATATCAACTTACACTTAATGACAGAGTAATTGTTTATTTGAATTCTTAGGGATTGGATATTTAACATATTCTCTCCTCTGATCTTATTACATGTTAATTCCTCTTGGCCCAATTACAATCCACTGATTCAGCTTCTTATCTAATAGCAAGCAAACACTCAAAGGGAAGCACATTTACTGTACTTTTATCACCTTAAATGGAAACGCTAAAATAACAAAATCTGATTGAAGTGTGATTTCTTTTTCTTTCTACTGAAATAATTTGACCAGCCTGGTCCGTTCAAGATGTGTGCATATCTTTATATGAGTATTGCTGTGTTTGTGTGTAAGGTTGGTCTGGCACTGCTCTGTAAATACATTTTATATGCTTAGTAAGAGATCCCAGGATTTTGGTTCTTCTCTTAAATTATATGCATAAAAAATAATCACTGGTCTTGTAAGTTACCTAACTTTATTTCCAAATATGGGGACCGAGATTTTAGTTCTGTGCAGGGTTTACCAATAAGCAAAGAGACACATGGAGCTGAATTGTTGATAGACTTTACCACAATTGGAGGTAATGTTACGTCATTCACATAGATGTGTGCAAGGGATACACAGGCACACTAATGCAGAACCAGATAGATCTCCCTATGTGTCCCCCTAGTGTCCTCCAATCCCCTACTGCACACAGCAGGTCTCCTGCCCCTTATAACTAGACAGTTATTTTACGTATTGCAGGAGGCCCCCAATGAGGTTAATATGTATAGAGCTATGAGATATATGTACATACTGTGAAATGTACCTTTCTAATATTTGTTTGAATAGTTTCCATTTAGCCTCAGTGTTTTTTTCACTACGGAGTTTATGCCAGCCGATATGTTGTAGAGCTGCCCTAATCTTATTAAAATTGGCTTTTTTAAAATTATATATTTTAATATACCCCATGTGCTTTTGCTTTTTTGAGTTTATTTCAAAAGTTACCATATTGTGATCACTATTTCCCAAATGTTCCCCTACTTGAATGTTGGTTAAAAGATCAACATCGTTTGTTATAACGAGATCCAGACAAGCATCCTTTCTAGTTGGTGTTTGTACCAGTTGTGACATAAAGGTGTCATTTAAAACATTCAAAAACCGGATTCCCCTTGCGGAAGTACTAGTCACTCTATCCCAATTTATGTCCTGGTAATTAAAATCTCCAATAATTAACGTGTTACCTCGATTTGCAGCTTTCTCAATTTGCTCTAACAGCAGTTCTTCCTCATTAATATTTACATTAGGTGGTTTATAATATATCCCAACCAATAATTGATTTTCCTTTGTTTGCCCTAAGCAGATATCTACCCATAAAGCTTCCACATTTTCCTCGTCACACTCCACATGCCTAAGATTTGACTTTAACTCATGGCTGACATACAAACATACCCCACCACCCTTCTTTTTTTTTCATATCCTTCCTAAATAACGTGTACCCATTTAAGTTAACTGCCCTGCACTTTTAAGGAATTTCGGATAATTTAAACTATGAGTAGCATTCGGCATATGGGCAGCCCTGATTGTCTGCTTTGTCAGTAAACCTTTCATTCTAGCACATATGCAAGTTGGGATGACACCCCGGTTTAAGGTAGACAGGTTGTTCGTGATGCTAATTCCATCATAGGCACGCTCACCTCCATGCCGACTCCATCCTGCTCCCTATATCAGAACTTGGCAAACGTGTGTTTCTGCAAATAAGTCTTTAAATAGTAATAATAATGCCACAATGTAATGAAGAATGACGGGAGGTCCCACATCTGTAATCTGCCAAAGACTCTGTAAGATCTTAATCCTTTTCTATTGGCTCATACATAGTCCTGTTTTATGGGCACCCTTCCCACAGTACGAACTGGTTCTTTAGGTGTTTGATGCTCGCCATGCCTAACTTCAGCAGCACTATGCCAAAAAATGTACGTCCTCAGGACTCTGTACTGCTCGTAGATGGTGAGAGCATGTCCCTTGTTTTCGCCTACTGCTGAAGAAAATTCTTGAAATTGTTCAAATTTGAGTATAATGTGGAATAATTAGCAGCTGATATTTTAGGAAGCCTCCAACCACATAATAAAATTGGGCACCAGTGGAAGGACTGCTTAGCCTCGCTGTCACCCTCCATCCCTCCTTGCTTCATATCAACATTTTCTAGCTAATTTTATTAACAGTTTTATTTTTTTCTTTCCACTCCAGGGTTTATGGTGTTGGTTTCTACATCATGTATGTACCAATATGGTTACTTGCTCACATACAACTGAGTGGGGTAGCTTACTCAAAATAAACACACTATAAATAAATAAGAAAATTGCGTGTTCATATTTTTGATGATGAGTACATTTTAATCCTGGCTCTTAGCAAGCAACTGGAACTTTCGAGCCATGGTTTTAAATTACTCACATCAAATGTGATTGATAATCCCTGACAGTGTACAGTGGGCTGTTTAATATTCAACCATCATAAATGACAAATTTGATGCAGGCAATAGCAGTCGTAATAAAGATTACTCTAGCAGTTTGTCAAACCTTATCTGACCACTGTAGTGGATAATTTATACATTTATAAAGTGGAAAAAATGTGACTAGTATTGTTTGTTATTTCAAATTAGAAAATAGCCTGTTTGCACAGACTGTGTGTGGTCCTTTATGCATTAGAGAAACAAAACAAAACAAAAATAATTAAAAACGAAGACACGACCTAATAATTACATAAGAACAGTTGTCAGGAAGAGAAAGTACAGATCATTTTTAAATCATAGATACTATGTAAGCAATGCCAGTGGCGTACATACCAGGGTCGCAGGAGTCGCGGCTGCGACCGGGCCCGGCCCACCAGGGGGCCCGGCCGCCCCTGCGACCCGGTATGTAGCCACAGGGCCAGCCTCTTCACCTGGGGGGCCCAGGAGCCGACCACCCCAGGGCCCCAGAGTGCTTCCTCTTCAGCTCCCTCGCGCACCGCACTGATACCGGAGCCGGAAGATGACGTCATCTTCCGGCGCCGGCATCCCTAAGCGGCGCGCGAGGGAGCTGAAGAGGAAGCACTCAGGGGAAAGTGCTCCCTCGCGCCCGCCTGCCCAGACAGCCCGCCCACCCAGTGACCTGCCACCCAGGAGCCCAGCAGCAGCACCACTGGACCCCAGGGAATCCCCCCAGCACTCCAATAGGTAAGGAGGCTGGGGGGATTAAATTTAAAAAATAAAAATGTGTTAGTGTGTGTGTGTTAGTGTGTGTGTGTGTGTGTGTGTGTGTTAGTGTATGTGTGTCTTAGTATGTGTGTATGTGTGTGTTAGTATGTGTGTGTTTATGTGTTAGTATGTGTGTGTGTGTTAGTGTGTGTGTGTGTGTGTGTTAGTATGTGTGTGTTAGTGTGTGTGTTAGTGTGTGTTAGTGTGTGTGTGTTAGTGTATGTGTGTCTTAGTATGTGTGTGTTAGTGTGTGTGTGTGTTAGTGTATGTGTGTCTTAGTGTATGAGTGTGTGTGTGTTAGTGTATGTGTGTCTTAGTGTATGAGTGTGTGTGTGTTAGTGTATGTGTGTTAGTGTGTGTATTAGTGTTTGTGTTAGTGCGTGTGTTAGTGTGTGTGTCAGTGAGTGTGTCTGTTATTGGGTGTGTGTCTGTCAGTGAGTGTGTTACTGTGTGTGTCTGTTACTGAGTGTGTTTGTCTGTTAGTTAGTGAGTGTGTGTTTGTCAGTGAAAGTGTATGTTTTGTAAGTGAGTGTGTATGCGTCTGTTCGTGAGAGTGTGTCTGTGTGTCTCTTCAGCATTTACCTTTCTCCAGCGTCGGACTCCCCAGTGTCCGCCTCTCAGCTCCAAATGCAAATGCGTGGCAAGAGGCGCGCGCGCGCATTTAAACCGCCCATAGGAAAGCATTACTCAGTGCTTTCCTATGGACGTTCAGTGTCTTCTCACTGTGATTTTCACAGTGAGAATCGCGGAAGCTCCTCTAGCAGCTGTCAATGAGACAGCCACCAGAGGCTGGATTAACCCTCAGTGAAACATAGCCGTTTTCACGGCTATGTTTTCACCTGCAGGGTTAAAACTAGAGGGACCTGGCACCCAGACCACTTCATTGAGCTGATGTGATCTGGGTGTCTGTAGTGGTCCTTTAAGTGTGTGTGCATACTGCGGTCGCGGGGTCGCAGCCCTGCGACCCCTGCGACCAGGTGCCCGCCGCCATGTGTTGCAGCCCCGACCCGCGCCGAGTAAGCGAGGGGGGGCCCACGGATCAATTTTCGCACCGGGGCCCCATGGGTCATGTGTACGCCACTGAGCAATGCCTTACATTACAGTATTCAGTGGATTTTGATGACTCTTATTACAGAGATTTATGACTTGGTGCATGTCCATAATACCTAATAATGTGAATGTAAAGAATGTCTATATACTAATGCTGTCACAAGCGGCTTGATGAGTGCCCTGACTTTTGGGGTAGGCCTGAAAAGGGTCCATCTATTCTAAAGCAGACCCTTTAGAATAGATGGAGCCCTTTCTCGATGCATCTTGTTCTTCAAGGGCTCTGCTCGAAACTTCTGTATTCTTGCTTGTTCTTCAAATAAATTTGAGGTAGCACTTTGTGCACTACTATAGCTGTGCTTCCCTCCTTTTTTTCTGTATTTTGCTTAGTGAAAAGCCCTGTAAGAATCAGACCTGTGACTCTGAGATACCGTAGCTGGAGACCTATACAATGTACTTTCTCACCGGCTATAATACCCAAACATTACTCATATAATAACTAACGCATTGTGTAAATTATGCAAATATAATAATCATCTATTACATGTAAAAGACCCAGACCTTACCAATATTATACTCATACATACTGCCAATATACCCACAAATAAAATAAAGCATTACTACATTAAGCAAACACATTACTCATATATTACTCATACATACTCATGTAGTAACCTGCCCTCGCTAATATTATACCTGCACATTAGTCATACTATACTCACTTATTAATAGTAAAATAATAGGAGGTTTCTAGCACTTGTTTACAGTATTGGTAGGGAGCTTGTACAAACCAAATTAAAGTCTCTTCTTTCTGGTTGCAGGTGGATATTGTGTTGGAGAAAATGGGGAAGGGAAGCAGCGCCTTAAGTCCTCTAGTCCAAAGTCGGGGAAGGCTGATATGTAAAAAAAAGGGGACAGTATACGGAATATAGTGTAATATTTAGTAAAATTGGTGACGTAGTTAAAATAATTGCACTTACAATTTTTTGAAGCTGATAATTAGCTCCAAATATTTGGGCCTGTGGATATACTTGGTGTCTTGGTCCAGTGGGAGAGCTCCAATTGGTATAGAACAGAAACAAAAAAGAGCAGAGAGATAGTGTAGTATATACAATACCCTAAATGAGAGTGACTTAAAGTATGTGGATATGCACTCACAATTTATTTTGAGCCTTTTTTGGCTCTGATTGACAGGCTTATATAGGAGTGGTCCACGGACGGGGTTGTACCACCCATGCGCAGATATTTGGAGCTCCAAAATTTTTTACGTGTATTTCTTTTATCTATGTCACCAGTTTTACTAATTTCTACACTATATTTCATATCCTGTCCTCCTATTTTACACATTAGCCTTCCCCGACTTTGGGCTAGAGGATATCCTTAAGGTGCTGCTTCCTTCCCTCCTATACTTATTACTTGTGTAATACTCACAGATTGCTTACATTATACAAACTTATTACTCATGACTCACACATTTATTATACCTATATATAACCCATACACCACCAATGTATTTCTCATTAACTAGCATGCATGGCACCCAGTTGGAGATCACATTTCCTTTTGCTCAGACCTTGTGTCTCTTTATATAACAGCTGTGGTTAAATGGTAAATTATCTCTTCTGGTTTTTGATCCAAGGAACGGGGCTAAGCTCTTGTTAATCCCTTGTAAACTCTACAATATTCCGTCAGTCGTGACCTCAGCCTCCCATTACCAGTCTGGTTAGTAAAGGGAAGTCTGAGCCAAAATAATAGTGTTTGTCCTATTAAATATTGCCTCATTTTGCGTATGTTAAAACTTGTTTATTTGGGAAATATAAATGGATATTTCACATTTCACCATGTTATACTAAAGTTTTAAATAAATTTGAAAACTTTATTATTGCTCAAATTGGTAAATTGACCTAATTGTAGAAAAATATGACATGGTTCAGTTGATGTCTAGATTGTTTGGCTTTTAATAAAAACATTTATAATTTTAAAAATGCACATTTTCTTTCTTTCAGAGGTTTTGTTGGATAATTAGAAAATTGAGAATTCCAACACATTAACGTTTTGTGTTTAATTAACTGCAAGAAAACAAATGAAATATCACTGCTGTCAAAACATTCTGTCTTATCTTTCCAAATGTTTTCTAAACACATGATTTTTTAGAAAAATCTCCTAATCTCAGTTTAATAAGCAGGTATTTTTTAGCTAAATATACAAACAAATGTGTGAAATACAGGCGCTTATATCGTGGTCTATTATAGTATATTTAATGTAGCAGCTGAAACACTGTGTGGGTGCTCCAGAATCACCCACTAAATAGAATACTTAAAAACACAGAATACAGCATAAACTCACCCTTCAATACTGGGTTAAGTCATACATAAAAGAAAAAGGTAAGAATATATAGTGTGACTCTGTTACACAATAGGTAAAATGTAGTGATGAGGGTGAGTGGTAATAAACTCACATAGTAACGAGCCTTTTAAATATAGGCTCTAATCTTTGAAGCTGGTATGCCTTAGGGTGACATACAACCCCTCTTGTTCTTCTTAATATCTAGATATTTCCTCTGTATGGTGTATATAACAGGGAGATTAAAGGTAAAGAGAAGTCTCCTAAGTGCAGTGTGTTAAAAACTGTTGATAAACTCTAACTCACACATATAGGAACGCTCACCTGATAAGGAGCCCTCCAAACTGGCTCTGAGTTCAAACGCTTGTGTGCCTTTTCTGGGTGACACTTCCCCTTTGATACCCGGTATAAGGAGTCTGGATCCAATGGTGAAGTGCACACAGTGCTCTTTATTTAATAAAATATAATTAAAAGTAATGGTGTAAAAAATTATTATGAAATAATCAAAAAATATAAATAGAATTAAAGTCCTTGGATCCTCCGACCTCCGAGACGTGTTTCTCCTATTCAATAGGCTTTTTCAATTGGCTGTCCTTTTTGAGAAACAGATATACAATGAATGTATATATTTTTTACTATTATTATTTATGAAGTAGGTTCCATATTTTGCTCAGCCGTGTCACTGTGAATGGAAGAAAGATGAAATAGGCCTTAAATATAATATTTTGTTAGTTGTAGTAGGACTTTTAACTCTTTAAATCCCAATGCACGTTCATTTGGCATCGTTGGATTGTTACTAATAAGATAGATGGTCTTGACTAAGAAAATAGATTTCTCCAATGTTTGACTTTCTATTTATTAATGAAGTGTTTAAATGTCTGTGGTCTACAGTGTTAGCAGGGAGCATCCTTTAGAATTTACATATAGGCTGTAAATCTCCTGTTATATAAAACAAATCATGTTGCAGAAGGTTTTGTTGTTTTGCCTGAAGTTGTTTCCCTTTTTGGGCTTTGAGTAAAAGCAATAACCAGAAATACAATGAGTCATCAGTGGAAAAGAAAAATTAAAGGCTTTAGCAACCTGACAGAACTCCCTGCAAACACTGCTTAGACTTTTCAGATTGCGGATATATTTAAATGGGATTTACGCTAAGTGGTCACTTATAAGAAAATCTGAGCAGTTATACTTCTGGTAAAGGGGAATAAGCGGTGGATTTAATGTCACAGGTGACTCGTGACGCTGTCGCTTCTTATATATGTTACTGTTGCAGACATTCTAAGATTAGCCCTATACGGTGCAGATTAGCACAATCTCTGAAGATGTCTCTTGTTGAGAACCTTATTATAATACAGGAGGAGAAAGAAAACTGCACTCTTCTTAAATAACAATCCTGGGTGCTAAAACCAGACCCAAGGCCGAGAAAATCTCAATACACATGTAAATAAACAAAGATAATCCAGGCACTTAAAGTTGAATGGCAAGTTTAATGAAGATCAAGTATTACAGTAAAGTTTTGACCTCAAATGAGGTCTTTATCAAGCTTGATGAAGACCTCATCAGAGGTCAAAATGTTGTTGTGATACCTTGATCTTCAGTAAACGTGCCACTTAATCATTCCTGTTGAGAACCCTTCAGACTCACAACTTGCAGTGTAAGGACCGGAACCTAACCAGAAAAAAAGAGGAATTTAAAATTGGATGGTATGATGTTTTACTGGCTCTTAAGAAGACTGAGCCTAATCGCCACCGAAGAGGTAAAAATGAAGACAGCCCGTGAATACGCAACTTTAGTCAGTAGTGATAGCCAAGGTCAGGGCAACAAAAATGCATAGGACAGGCCATTTCAAGGTGCAATAAATTAGTGTAATGAAAGGTTAACCTGAGTCACAACTACAAAACAAACTTTAATATCGAGCAACACATTTCCTGAACTGCAAAAGGTCAAGGGATTCCTCTAGATACTAATTTAAAAGGTCTGTCAGGGTGCTGACATTGGTTGAAGGGAATGTTTGCTGTGTTGGAAAGTGCACAAAAGTGAGCCAAATTCTGGGCAACAGCTCAATGACACAACATGAATCAGGGTTGCTCTGTTTCTCTAGTAAGTTGCTGAAACAATTTGAATAGGATTCAAGATAAATGCAGGACACTGAACTTTACTAGTAATCCGAAACAACAGGGATCAGAGTAGCATAATTGGCAAACGTAATCTGGAACCGGACAGTCATTTAATAACATAGTACAGAAAGACAGGGACAAAGTGTACTTATGTTTCATACTAGCTATAGCTCCACAGCCCTACCTTCTGTTGACAGTAAAAATAAACAATGAAGATACTGGTCACTTCAGAGAGCACGGACCCTGGCTCATCCCTCGGCCAACAATAATATAGAAATAATAAGAATGTCCAACACAAATCTTTAAGTCCACAGATCCTTTATTTGTCCTCCGGGAGGCATAACCACCTAGCAAAGCTAGTGGGTATGCGGCAGCCTCCCGAAGTCAACGCCAGAGCTGAAAAGGCTCGCGCTGTGCATCTGCACAGCAACAGCCTTTCAGCCAATCAGGTGATCAGGAGAGCCATGCTGAGCGCGGGAATCCTGATTACCTTGATTTTTAAAAATGGCATCATTGATGGAGGACTCTATTTCTGTGTCTGCCACAGATTTAGTGGATGCCTCTCTTAAAATAGCTTTAACACCAGCATACAACAATTCCCTCTTACTTTGCAGGAGAAGTCAGCTGTTTTTAGGCAACCGACTAAGACAGGGCGGCCATTGGGTATCAAAATTTGTTCTCCCCAAGAAGGTCAGAGAAGAATTGAAGTCCATTCTGGAGTTAGAAATTCCACTTCCCCGTCCCCTGTTAGAGCAGCCTGTGGCAGTCACTCTGACGTCAGATGCCTCAAGTCACGGTTGGGGTGCGTTTACATGCCTTAAGAGGAATTTGGTCAGACCAAGAGAGTCTCCTCCATATAAACATCTTGGAGTTACGAGCTATAAAATTAGCTTTCCAGGGCCTAGTTTCTCTAAACCAGTCACCAACGTTGGTAAAAGTCCAATTGGACAACAGGACAGCGGTGGCTTATATAAACCACAGAGGGGGCACAAGATCAAGGGGTCTTTGTTTAGAGGCTCTAGATCTTTGGTCCTGGGCCTTAGCAAGCAATGTTCAGGTTTTCGCAGAATATGTTCCAGGAGAGGCGAACGAGCTTGCAGACTCTCTCTCTCGCCAAGGTTTGTCCCTGGCAACGATTCAATTAAAGATTGCTCTTTTCCAACGCCTTCAGTTTCTTAGGACCACCACGAGGTGTGTGCCATTCTACCCACTAGCTTTGCTAGGTGGTTATGCCTCCCGGAGGACAAATCAGAGTTTGCAGGAATCTATGATCTGCAAACTTTCTTTGTCTTAGGGATGAGCATAACCACCTAGCAATAGCGCCCGTCCCACCCTCCTCCAAGTTAAGGGTTTTGCCTGCTGGTGGTAGTTTTCTAAAACACAAGGTTATCTGGTGCTTATTCAGCCTTTTGATAACTGTTCTCTGTTTTGTTTTTTACAGACTATAGCCGTACTCCAAGACAAGACCAACAAACCAAGGATCCACCTAAGTAGGAGGATTGGATGCTAGTAGTCTCATCAGTTTGATATTCTCATGGACTCCCTGCATAAAGAATCTGTTTGCTGGGACTTGTTACAACATTTCTTTTCTCTTTATTGAACTTATTTGTTGCAATTTATGATGAAGGGTACCAGTGTTCATTTGATACCTTCCTTTGCTATACATTGTTGCCTTGTTTTCCAGCGCAGCTGTTTTATACAAAGTTTCAAGTCTATCTTGTATGTCTTCATGATTCATTAAACATTTTTCTTGTTCCCCTGTACTATTGGCAACTTGAATCGTTTTATTTTGTGTTTAGATGTTTAATTATATTCCTGTACACTGTGGGAAGTATTTATCCTTCGTACTTCGTGGGATGTGCTAACCATCCGCAGTTTCCCAATTTTAAAAATCCGAGGTAATCAGGATTCCCGCGCTCAGAACGCCTCTCCTGATCACCTGATTGGCTGAAAGGCTGTTGCTGTGCAGATGCGCAGCGCAAGCCTTTTCAGCTCTGGCATTTGACTCCGGGAGGCTGCCGCACACCCACTAGGTTTGCTAGGTGGTTATGCTCATCCCTAAGACAAAGAAAGTTTGCAGATCATAGATTCCTGCAAACTCTGATTAATGTGCCAAAGCAAATAGGTGACATTTCGACTGCACACAGAATTTCTCGAACCCAGTAATAACTTTAAAAGGTGTAGGTATAAATAGACCTCTAACTGACAAAGGGGTGGAGTACCACCCTCATTTACGTTAACGAACAAGTATACAAGGGCTCATGAGATCATGTGATCAAAATTACCAACACAATCATATGCTAGACCTTGTGATAAGATGTGAACACAGAATATAAACAAAGTGAAAATGATCAAAGAGCAACATCACAAAGGGTGCAAATAACAATTCATGTGCATGATATAAAAAAAATAGCATATTTACTCAAATCTAATGCGCCATCCAATCTAATGCGCACCTTAATTTTTGAAACCTGGAAGCTGAAAAATGTTTTTTGCTGGCGAATGTAATGCACATTTATACATAAAGCTACTACTATACAACATTGTGCTACAATGCAAATATTTATTGCCATATACCATAGTAACATTGATGGTATTTCAATTTTAGCCTGTGTGAAATTACCGGAATGAAACTCGCCGCAATGCAATTCGCCTTCCAATCTTGAATTCTGACCCGAATGTAATGCGCCATCGAATCGAATGCGCAGTTAAATTTTGAAAACGTAATTTTCCAAAAAAGTGCGCATTAAATTTGAGTAAATACAGTAACTCATGTTCACTACATATTCAGTTTCTTGTTAATCTACAAAATTTACATTATCACATATTAAAAACCATCCGATGTACTGCTATTTGAATACAGTACGCTATACATTGTGCAAAAAAATAAACTGTTACATAATATATTTCTGGCTGTATAAACTGTGCAATAAATAAACTGCTGCATATTGTATTACTCTGACTACTAGAACACAACTGTGTAAAACCGCTATATAGCTAGACAAACGGTTACACTTACTCAAGCTAAAGGCGGAGTATCACTTACTGTTGAGTCTGCCAAAAACATGAATTCCATGTGATAAATTAAATAGCTTTTTAAAATATTGCATTATAGTTGTTGATGGCCAAGGATAGTGGTGAAGAGGAAATGGGGTGGTGAAAAATCTAAATTACTGGCACCATGACACAGACCCATTTGGTTTCTTCAATTCAATGACTGTATCTTTGTTATACAGTGTCCCGGGAGATTGAAATAAAGTTCTATTGATTTTGACATTTCACTTCTAGAGGACTGTCTGCTGACACTTTGTCTATGACAGGATTTTGGAGACATTGAGGGATTTATAGTGTCATATAATAATGTGTGACTTTTGAAGATTTCTGGCATGAATGATCAGTTACAAGCCTTTTCCCTTGACTTTTGTACCTTTTCTTCAGCTTTTTTTTAAAACTTTTTGTATAGAGCATTCCATCCATTAACATTTATGCTTTTTACATCAAAAAGTATCTACTTCCCTGGTTTGTCTCTGCCTTATTTTGGCTGAAATATTGAGGAAAAATATGTAAAGAATATTCATACAGTATTCTTAGTTAGTGGAAAATAACTGTGAAGAAAGACAGCACTTTTCATACTACTTTTAAATCAAGTTAATACATTTTAAACAAGTTTTGAAACCTTGCTTCTTTTTTTTTTTTTTAAAGAGAGGAAACAGGAACATTTTATAGAAATGTACCGGTGTGCCGAAATATGTCAAAATGACAAACAGAACTTTTGCCAAACACAATTATTTCAAGTGTTCCTTTCAGGACCAACACTGGGGAAGATTTATCTAAGGGTTACGGAATAATCTGCATCTTATTTCTTTTTAGACTTTTTCTGGCATTAATTATCAGTTTTAATGGTCTTTTCAACTCTGTATTACTTATATGCCTTTTCTGTCATTTTTTCTTTGCTTTACTTTTGGTGTACTGTATTCTAAATATTATTTACACAGTTTTTGCACCAAAACTATTCTATTTACTGATATTTTCTTGCAAAACATTTTATTTTGACATAAAAAATACGAGAAAAATGTTTGTACGGTATTCATAGTTTTTAAATGATTTCAAAACACTTCAGTATACCAGAAACTATTTTAAACACTATCAAAAGGACACTATTCAGATCACTTTGATTCATTTCTCCCTTAGTGTCACTTTAAAGAAAACATTTAATATATTTATTATATGCCCGACTAGCTCTATACCATCATAGCTTTAAAGATTTCACAAAAAACATAGTAATATTAGCTGCACATGCTGCTGACCTGCCTCCGAATGATGCTGCAGTGTTTCACAAAGCACAGAGACAATCACCTGAGCATGCACACTTCACCATGTGTGGCCATTAGCAACAAGCAAATTGTGCTTGGCTAGTAAAACTTAGCAGCGGGGTTGGAACAAACCTTTTCTTTTATTAGATTTCATAGGGTTTTAGCTGTTGTTGACCTTTTTACACCAGGCCAGAGGCTTGTGTTTTTTTGAGGTTTGCGGCAGTCGGTATTGAGTAGTGATTGGCTCGAAAACCAGTTGCTAAGTAGTGGATAACAGCTTCCGATAC